ACATGAATGGTAGCCTCTCTGAGCCTGTTTCCTAATCTGTAAGATGAGGGCTTTAATATCCACCCAGGTTGCTTGTTGTTACAATGAAAGAAACTGCATATGCAGTGCCTGGCAAATACTAGGTGCTGGGCAAATGATAGCTACTGTTCATCATTTACTATACTTTCCCACTCTCTTTTCATATTGGTGGAGTCAGCGAGTTTATTGCCATGGAAGAGACTTTATCTTTCTGGTTGACATTTCCTTTATTTTCTTTTCTATTTTTATTTTTTGTGTTCTGTTTTTGCTTCTTATTTTATTTTTAGGAAAATGTGAGAATACAGGCATTTGCCCTTTTCAGTAGCTTATTTGCCATGGCTCTGTAGTGCTTCGACAAAGAGGCATGTGTGTGCAGACTGGTTCAGAACTCATATTCTTCTATGGTATGTGAACAGAAACCCCAGAAAGGGGTAAATGGACATGAGAGAGTGTCACTGTGAAATATAGCTCAAGAGTTGGAATCATTGCTGTTGTACTCCAGAATCTGAAGTATAAATGTTTTCTATAAAATGGGAATGCTTGTAGATACCAATTTACTTAATTTCTTAAACTATCATTTTCCCTATAGGAGTCATTAATAAACTCAGTAGAATTCAAATTTCCTGGAATGGTAATATATGCTCAAATCATGGAGGCATAGGCTCTCAGAGAAGTGGGACTTGGAAGGTCATCCAACCCAACTCTATGCTTCATTGAGCTCTGTAGCATCCTTACTACAGAGCTGCTTGGGCTCTGTTCAAACACTATTAGTGATAGGAAAAGGCTTGTCTGCTTTCCATGGCAGTCATTTTATCTATACACAGCTCTAACTTTTAGAACAAAGTGCTTCTTCATATGGAGTCTTTATAGCTCTCTCTGTTGTTTTTTGTTTGCCTTTTGTCACTCTCTGTGGGGGAAAAACCAACCAAACAACCAAGCAAAAGAGTAACTGATCAAATAGGTTTGGGAAACACCATATACATGGCTCATACCCAAAGAGTCACAATGTGTACATGTGTATCCCTGGGACATATTGCAGTATGGTTAGCCATCAAGTATTTCACAAACTTATTTGATTGTGAAACTTTACTTTTTCTCAGAACATCTGTTCAAGCACAACTTAGAATAGTATCTGGCATATAGTAGGTGCTCAATAAATATTTCTTTTAAAAAAGTGAATGAATGCAAAATTAATCTTTAAAATTTTTTTTTTTTTGAGACAGAGTCTCACTTTGTTGCCTAGGCTAGAGTGAGTGCCGTGGCGTCAGCCTAGCTCACAGCAACCTCAAACTCCTGGGCTCAAGCAATCCTCCTGCCTCAGCCTCCCAAGTAGCTGGGACTACAGGCATGCGCCACCATGCCCGGCTAATTTTTTCTATATATATTAGTTGGCCAATTAGTTTCTTTCTATTTATAGTAGAGACGGGGTCTCGCTCTTGCTCAGGCTGGTTTTGAACTCCCGACCTCGAGCAATCCGCCCGCCTCGGCCTCCCAGAGAGCTAGGATTACAGGCGTGAGCCACCGCGCCCGGCCAATCTTTAAAAATTTTAAAGTGCATCCTGTACTGAGGTGACATGAGTTCTGCATTTCTGCAAGTGACAGAATGAAAATAGAGCAACTGCTTACATGGCTGTACCTTCATCCTCTCTGTGAACCATTCTAAATAGATGATTTATTTCCATACCTTTTAGAACTTTAAAAATTAATATTTGAATTCTGAGCTTGTATCCCCATTTGTACAACTACCTTTCATGTTATAAAGGAAATATTAGTGATCTGCTTGCAATTTATGGTCAAGACAATAAGAGCTCAACTCTTTTTATTTTATTTTATTTATTTTAGCGTATTATGGGGGTACAAGTGTTAAGGTTACGTATCCTGATCATTTGTATGGAATGAATGACTTGGTGAGCGCTTCACTTGTCTTTTCTTTTCAGTTTGTGTCTGATTGTACAAGCGCATGGTTTTTCAGCAGAGCTCTTAAAGGAAGATGCGCTCCATCAGGGTGTTTATAAGGGTGTTTTTCAGATTGCCTATTGAGTTACAGCCATTTATTTGGCCTCCCAACCAGCCCTTTTTGGGCTTAGCAATTAGTCAAAAGTAAGGAAAATGCATGCTTTTTATTTGTGAGAAATTGAACTTTCCACATGGGGCAGCTTGACAAGCTTCTGATTAAAATTGAATCTGGTCAACAGGGAACATGCTATAATGTGGACTTGATCCAACTTTGGTGATCCAGGCTTTTTATCTCTTATGCTCCGGAGTGAGAGTTTAAAGGGTCAGTAAGAAGAACATTATAGATTATATTTGTTCTTATTTTTATATTTCAGGAAGCAATCTGTGTGGAAATTCAAGGTCAGATACAAAGCTGGGTGTAACTCAGTGTCACAGCTTTCTCCAAAGTCAGTACTCTGTTTCTCTTTGTTCTCAGCAACAATCTCCCCTCATCCTTTGTGGCTGCTCACTGATAACTCTGTGTCTCCTGTTGCCTTTCCCATGTTATCTCCTCTCCCTTCAGTCTGTTTCCAACCCAGAACTTGACCATTTCGTAAAGTAGTAACATCTTCTCTTTTAATCATTATTTCATCCTTTCTCATTAGAATGGAAATGTTATTTTTACCAGCACAATTGTAGGTGACATTTTGAGATAGAAAAGATCAGTATGTTTTTCGTATATCTATGGATTTTACATGTTGGATCTCATAGAATGGAAGGGACCTTACAAAGCATTAGCTGTATTGCCCTCACTTCTAAAATGGGGGTGATGAGACTGGGGTGGGGAATGACTTGTTAGAGATCACAGAGCAGCTCTGGTTCTCCCGCTCCCACCCACAGCCTTTTATTTTATGCCCTGAGGCCTCTCTTATTACCTGGATGTTTAAAGTGTACAATAAATGGACATAGTTTTTATAGCTGTGTAATAATCTGAATGGTAGGGGAGGAATCAAATTGCACATATTAGTACTTCCACATCTGCTATCTGACATCAATTTATCTTGATAGATGTTCCTACTGATCAAAACAGGGGAGAAATTTGAGTCTCTCATTATGTAGCAATATTTTTAAGTCTAACACTCTCTCATTTAAAAGGTAGAACACGTATTGACCATTGCTACTTTTGCAGGCTCCTGAGGGCAGAGAGAGTTCTAGTCCTTTTTGCATTACCATCATTCTTACCCTTCCTTCATGTCTCCATGCCTGAAAATGTCAATGTCTGACACGTGTTTGTAGCTGTTATAAACACATTGATAAACACATTCTTTTATCTGAGGAAGCATGTAGCATTAAAGAATAATTGCAAATGTAAACATGCATGCCTTAGTCTGGAATATATCAGGAGTCTAAATATATAAAATAACAAGACTTTTTTTTTTTTTTTTTTTGAGACAGAGTCTCGCTTTGTTGCTCAGGCTAGAGTGAGTGCCATGGTGTCAGCCTAGCTCACAGCAACCTCAAACTCCTGTGCTCAAGCAATCCTACTGCCTCAGCCTCCTGAGTAGCTGGGACTACAGGCATGCGCCACCATGCCCGGCTAATTTTTTTCTATATATATTAGTTGGCCAATTAATTTCTTTCTATTTATAGTAGAGACGGGGTCTCGCTCTTACTCAGGCTGGTTTTGAACTCCTGACCTCTAGCAATCCGCCTGCCTCGGCCTCCCAGAGAGCTAGGATTACAAACGTGAGCCACCACGCCTGGCCTAACAAGACATTTTTTAAGAAGTGATTTTTATGTCCTGAGAAATCAAAGATTTGTAAGGCCACGTATATTAGGAAAATAAATGTGTCAGTTAATTGCATTGTTTCAAATTGGGTGGGGAGGTTTATTCTGTAACAGCTACCCTATTCCACTGTCTAGTGTGGACCTATCAAGAACTTTTTTGTTTTAATTCCCTCGATGAGCATTGGTCTTCAAAAACCACATCTATATGATATAATTTGAGGAGTACTGAAAAGGATAATGCGTCATCAGCCTGACACCACTAGAGATGAGGACTTTGAAGGCACTTTGTGTCAGAGAGCAAGTGAAAAATATGTCTTCAGTAAGAGATGTGGAACTGCAGGCATTAAAACCAGTGACCCAAAATAGCCTAGTTTGATGACTCATTTTCTTTTAAAAAGTTATCCTTGTTCATGGACCAGAGGTGGGTAGTAGACTTTGATTTTTGTCCCCTGTAGAGTTCACTAGAATTGAACATCTAAGTTAACACTTCAGATCTGGGACAACTGAAACATATTGAACAATGCATGGATGTTCTATTTGTAATAATAAACAATGTAATGCTAATATATTCCTGTTTGTTGAACACCTCCTGTTATGCCAAGTATTGCCTTTAGATGGCACGGGACCTTTGACATAGATAGCATTATATCCAGTATATAGCTGAGGAAACTAAGGCTCAGAGAGGCTAAGTAGCCTGCCCATGTTTGTACAGCCAGTAAATGCAACAAGCTCAGAAGCCACATGGTTAACCACTACACTGTACTCTCTCTCAGACTCTTTTCCTGATCTATTAGATGGGATAATATTACCTACCTCACGGTCATTTTAAGGCTCCAATAAGACAAAAGGTGCAAAAAGTGTTTTGTGATTGCTAATAAAACTTTGTAGAATGGACAGCATTGTCGGAAGTAGAAGGCAATCTGCTACATTGTCTCCACGTGAGCATCTGTCCTTTGGATGATCCCAGATGCCCTGCAGTTTGCACCTTTGCCCTTGGCTTTCTGGGGAGTGAGAGTAGTTTATGTCCTGGGCATAGATTCTGAGAAGTAGGTCACTGGTCCTACTTATTCTGTGATATTCTCAAGAGCATGATTTCCTTGCCATGTAGCTGAGAGGAGGAAAGAGGAGATCAGCAGTGTGTCTATGGACACAGATCTGCAGGAGCCAAAGTTTTTTTGGGCACAATGAGAAATCCTGTGGCTGTTTTTAGCTGCACTTTAACATGTGTATTGTTTCCTTCCCTTTCTTGTTTGTCATAGAAACTGAGCTGCTCCTCCGTGTAAAGGACATCAGTCATTTCTTAATGCAAGACATCGCCTTTTTGTCTGGTAAGCAAACTTTCTCATATATAGTCCAGATAAATGTATGAATTAATTACCAGAGTTAGTTTGGTACTTAATATATACATAGCTATATATATATATATATATATATATATATATATATATATATATATATATATATAAGCTTGAGAAGCACTATTTTAATAAACCTTTATACATTGTGCACCTACTTGCTAAGCAAATGGGCAGAGTATAATTACAGGTGTTCCGCATGTTTAGATATGTTAATAAAACCAACCTTACCACTTTTGTACATTTGACTTTCAGACAAGTCTTCAGAAATCCGTGATAAGTGAAAATAGACTCTGTCTCCTGGGTGGGTGCAGGCTGGGTGAGAGGGGAGCAGTAGAGATAGCATTTTTGGGATTTACTCCTCCACCATAGTTCTGATCACACAAATGTTTATTACAAATGCTGGCAAGTTGCTTTAATTAAGTGCATGCACTAAGTTTTATTTTTAAATATTTCATTTACATATGATAAAGTTTATTTTTCTTAAATATGTATAGGCATTTGCATATAATTTTTTTAAATTGTGGTAAAATACAAACAACATACAATTTACCATCTTAACCATTTTTAAGAGTATACTTCCATGGCATTAAGTATATTCACATTTTTGTGCAAGCATCACCACCATCCATCTCCAGAACTCTTTTCATGTTGCAAAATTGAAACTGTGTGCTCATGAAACAACTCCCCATTCCATTCCCTCCTCCCCTCAGCACCTGGCAACCACCATTTTTCTTTCTGTCTCTATGATTTTGACTACTTTACATACCATATATAAGTGGAATCATGCAGCATTTGTCTTTTTGTAACTGGCTTATTTCACTCAGCATAATGTCCTCAAGGTTTATTCATGTTGCAGCATGTGTCAGAATTGCCTTCCTTTTTAAGGCTGAATAATACTCCATTGTATGTATAGACCACATTTTGTTTATTCATTCATCCATTGATGGATACTTAGCTTGCTTCTACCTTTTGGCTATTATGAATAATGTTGCTAAATAGCATTATATATTTCTAGAGACAATTATGCTAAACCACCTCTCCCCTTTTGCTTCTGATCAGATTCTAGAGTAAGTTTTGCTTAAAAACAAGCATTACTTTCAGGTATTAGAGTAATTTGAACTAGATCATTAAATATTATATTAAACCATTAAAGAAAAATTTACCAGAATATACATTGTTTTATGAAAACAAGAGCTTCTTGGGTGTTGAGAGTAAAAGAAACTTTCTTATTCCCTTTAAGTAGTTTAATTATTTCTCCTAAAATAATACCCATGTGCTCAGTTTACTAAACATGCATTTACTTTATAGATGATCCTAATTGGATACTTAAATCTGGCCTATGCTTTTTGATGATTATAATTAGTTGTAATTGTGAATTAGTGATGACTTAATGTGGTTTTATTATTTTTTATGTATATATATTTTTTAGTTATATAGCTAATTTCTTTTCTTTTCTTTTCTTTTCTTTTCTTTTCTTTTCTTTTCTTTTCTTTTCTTTTCTTTTCTTTTCTTTTTTCTTTTTTTTCTTTCGTAGAGACAGGGTCTTGCTCTTGCTCAGGCTGGTCTCGAACTCCTGAGCTCAAAGGATCCTCCCACCTCGGCCTCACAAAGTGCTAGGTTTACAGGCCTAAGCCACCGCACCTGGCCATATGTTTTATTTTATAAGTAGCATAAATGTGTGACATAGTGTCTTAGTAAATTTAGTGGTATGTTAGGTTTACTTTAAAGATTTAGAAATTTTACTTAAGATCATCATTGTTGGCCAGGTACGGTCGCTCATGCCTGTAATCCTAGCACTCTGGGAGGCCAAGACGGGAGGATTGCTAGAGCTTAGGAGTTTGAGACCAGCCTGAGCAAGAGTGAGACCCCGTCTCTATAAAAAATAGAAAAATTAGTTGGGCGTCGTGGTGAGCCCCTGTAGTCCCGGCTACTTGGGGCTGAGGCAGGAGGATTGCTTGAGCCTAGGAATGTGAGGTTGCTGTGAGCTAGACTGATGCCACAGCACTCTATCCTGGGCAACGGAGCCAGACTCTGTCTCCAAAAGAAAAAAAAAAAAAGATTGTCAGTGTTTTCCAAGCTGTGTTCCAAATAGAACCATTTTCAGGGCTTGCCACATCCATCCAGACCCTCTCTGCTTTTTCCCCTTATCTGCTTTTTGTTTTAAAAATGCTTCTGATTGTTGTTTCTTTTGAAGAAAGGGCTCCCAATGGGAAAACGATCGTTTTAATGAAAACCTCCCAATTTAGAATATTTCTTTTGTTCTCTTCTCGCAAATTTACTACCTAGTACAGTACTTGTAGGTGCTCAATGGTAATAACAATTTATAGATTAGTCAATGGTAATTTACTGTTATAGGAACCTTGCATCCTTTCCTTTGATAGGTATAGTTTGCCCAAGTGCAGATGGTTCTGTCCTTAACTAGAGTGCTCACCAGCCTGCTTGGCAAGTGTATAGTTATATATAAGGTATGTGTTACATTATATATAATGTACTATTATATTACTAGTTCTACACCATACCCTACCTATAGAGGCCTGTTGTTTAATGATTCACTAAATCTCTTGGTTCAGATTTGTACAGTTTCTCCTTTCTTTTTTGAGACCGAGTGTCAGTTTTTGCTTAATGTATTTATTTATTTTATTCTTCTAAGCTCATGATGTAGGTAAATGCTTAATGTATTTTGAAGCTCTGTTATTTGGTGTATAAGCATTTAAGATTATGTCCTCTTGATGAATTAACTACTTTATCAATATCAAATGACCTTGTTAATATCTAATAATTAGGGGGCTCTGAAGTTTACTTTGTCTAATATTAAGATTAGACAGCTTTGTTTTGACTAGTATTAGCATGGTATCTTTTTCTATCCTTTTGCTTTTAACACATTTGTACCTTTATATTTAAAAAGTGTGCTTCTTATAGGCAGCATATAGTTGGGTCTTACTTTTTAGCCACTTTGATGATCTTTGACTTTTAATATCAGTGTCTAGATCATTTGCATTTAATGTGATTATTCATATGGATGGATTTAAATCTACCATCTTACTATTTATTTTCTATTTATCCCATGTATTCTTTGTTTTCCTCAATTTCTGCTTTCTTTTGGATTGGGCGTTTTTATCATTCCATTTTGTCTCCTTTGTCATTGTCATATTTTTTATTACACATTGAATTTAAAAATATTTTTTTATCTTTATTCACTTCAATTCAGCCAAGTAAGAATGACAACTAAATCTCTCAAAAAAATTCTATTTTTTTGAGCTAAATTCAAAGGCCACCTTGCAATGTTCCTCCTAAAATAATTCTTCAAATTCCATTTAGCATTTAATATTTATTGAGCACCTACTCTGTGTGTAGGTGTAAGGGTGGCTATATATTGAGACCTTAAACAAGTGTAATGCTCATTTCTGCACTTAGATGGCTTTCATTCTCAATGTTCTTCATCCTCCAGGCTGCATAGAGGGTTACAGGGCTGGATGGAGAGGTAGGTAGGCAGACCAGAATGAAAGCTCAGGGCCAGTTCAGTCGTTACCCACCGAGAACCCCTATGACAGTTACCCCTATTCCTGGTCCCTGTGGAAATGCGCTCAGGGCAGCCTTCCCAATGAACCCTGGGACCCATGCTTCTCAGGGTCATAGTGCTCACCTGGTCAAGGTATTGTTGGGTGCAACCCCTTCAGGTTAATGACTACACAGGCCTGGGAGGTGGGGCCGGGGGTGGAGTACCATAACCCCATGCAACCACCTGGACCTTGCATTCCCACTCTGGTTGCACATTTAATTTTTTTCTTTTTATTTGTTATTTTTTTTCTTTTTTGTTTTATTTTACGTTTTTCTCCCTATGTCTACTTAATGCACATTTAATTTTAACCCTCCGAATTTGTGGTCTTTCTTTCTTTGCATTAATAAAATTTCTATACCATTGCTGCTATTATTACTTCTGTTGTTTCTTCCACAAACACTTATTTTCTATGGTGTGTACTCTGTATCTTTTTATGTTCACCATGACTCTAAGGCCAGTTATATCAAGTTTTCCACTGCCTATTAAGTTGCCAATCACCCATTTTGAATTTGGTTTCATAATATTATTGTAGAAACAGTTATTTACCAACCCCTTGGTTGTCCAGTTTGGAGAATCAGCTATTTTTTTCAACCACATTTATTACAGATATTCTGTGAAATTTTCTTTCGACTGTATTCATTCATTTTACTGTCTTTCTTTTTTAATTTAGAAACCACTCTGCCACTTTTTTTTTTTTTTTTTTTTTTTTTGAGACAGAGTCTCACTTTTGCCCAGGCTAGAGTGAGTGCCGTGGCGTCAGCATAGCTCACAGCAACCTCAATCTCCTGGGCTCAGCGATCCTACTGCCTCAGCCTCCTGAGTAGCTGGGACTACAGGCATGCGCCACCATGCCCGGCTAATTTTTTGTATATATATTTTTAGTTGGTCAATTAATTTCTTTCTATTTTTGGTAGAGACGGGGTCTCGCTCAGGGTGGTTTCGAACTCCTGACCTTGAGCAATCCGCCCGCCTCGGCCTCCCAAAGTGCTAGGATTACAGGCGTGAGCCACCACGCCCGGCCTACCACTCTGCCACTTTTTAAACTTGTCAGAAGCTCAGTGCCATTTTGGTTTATGTGGAGATCATTATCCTTATAAAGTTTTGTTGGCCCAAATCAGTATTCTAACAACCCCTCTCAAATATAAAATCGTCTTCCTTGCATTGTTATTATGTAAATAAATTATTCATTCAGTTGATTTTGTTTTACTATTTTAGGTGGCCGAGGAAAGGACAATGCTTGGATCATTACGTTTCCAGAAAATTGTAATTTTAGATGTATACCAGAGGAAGTAATAGCAAAAGTGCTCACTTACCTGACATCTATTGCAAGGTATAGCATTTCATTACATTTTTTTTCAATTTGCTTTGTATCAGATACCCATTTGAATGACATAACAGGAAAATGATGTGTTAGTATAGCTATTATTGTGAATAATCATCAGACTTACCTTCAGAGTGAATAAGAAATATAACTTAGAAGGAGAAGCTTATAGCTACCTAACTTGCTATAAAAATTATAAGGAGGATCTATGAAAAAAAAATTGAGGATCTAGAAGTATTTGTCTCCATGAAAAAAAGAATATAGGTTGAGAATGATGATCATACATAATGACTTTAATTGGCTTAAAAGGAAATCTTATCAGCCAAGAGTGAGGACAGCTATTTTTCACTTCTTCTGAAGATAACACAAGAAGACTGAATCTTAAGTAAATTCAATAATGGTATTGGGAGATACTAGGATGCATGTCTTAATATTAGAAATTATTTTGAAGTAGAGTGCTTTAAAATAGAAAGTTTGAAAAGCTTCCTTAGAGATTTTATTTATGTTAAATATAAACGTTTTAAGGAAGCATTTCCAGGTACCAACCCTGAAGAATAAGAGGGAACAAATCTAGGATGATAAACTTTGAATTTTTTATTTTTAATTATTATGGGTACATAATAGTATATATTTATAGAGTACATGTAATATTTTGATAGGATATAAGGTATATTAATCAAATCAGGGTAATTGGAATGTCCTTCACCTCAAGCATTTATCATTGCTGTGTGTTAGGAACATTGCAATTCCACTCTTTTAGTTATTTTAAAGTGTACCATAAATTATTGTTGACCATAGTCACTTTGTTGTACTATTAAATATTGTTCATTCTAACTCTCTAACTATATTTTTGTACCCATAACCATCCCACTTTGCTCCATCCTCCCCACTACCCATCCCAGCCTCTGATAACCATCATTCTATTTTCTGTCTCCAAGAGAGCAATTGCTTTAATACTTAGCTCCTACATATGAGTGAGAACATGCAAGATTTGTCTTTCTGTGTTTGGCTTATATCACTTAACATAATGTTCTCCAGTTCCATCCATGTTGTTGCAAATGACAGGACTTCATTCTTTTCTGTGGCTATATAATATTCCATTGTGTATATGTACCACAATTTCTTTATCCATTCATCTGTTGATGAACGCTTCGGTTGATTTCAAATCTTAGCTATTGTGAATAGTGCTGCAATAAACATGGGAGTGCAGATATCTTTTGCATATTTTGAATTCCCTTTTAGATATATACCTAGGGGTAGGATTGCTGGGTCATATGGTAGTTGTATTTTTAGTTTTTTTTTTTTTTTGAGACAGAGTCTCACTTTGTTGTCCAGGTTAGAGTGAGTGCCATGGTGTCAGCCTAGCTCACAGCAACCTCAAACTCCTGGGCTGAAGCAATCCTCCTGCCTCAGCCTCCCAAGTAGCTGGGACTACAGGCATGTGCCACCATGCCCAGCTAATTTTTTCTATATATGTATTAGTTGGCCAATTAATTTATTTCTATTTATAGTAGAGACGGGGTCTCGCTCTTGCTCAGGCTGGTTTCGAACTCCTGACTTCGAGCAATCCGCCCACCTGGGCCTCCCAGAGTGCTAGGATTACAGGTGTTAGCCACCACGCCTGGCCTATTTTTAGTTTTTTGAAGACTCTCCATACTGTTCTCCATAGTCGTTGTACTAATTTACATTCCCACCAACAGTGTAAGGGTGTTCCCCTTTCTCCACATCCTTGCCAGCATTTGTTTTTACCTGTCTCTTGATGCAAGCCATTTTAACTGGGGTGAAATGACATGTCATTGTAGTTTTGATTTGCATTTTTCTCACAACTAATGATGCTGAGCATTTTTTCATATACCTGTTGGCCATTTGTATATCTTCTTTTGAGAAATTTCTATACAGATCTTTTGTCCATTTTTAAATCATATTATTTGATTTTTTTCCTATTAAGTTGTTGAAACTCCTTATATATTCTAGTTATTAATGCCTTTTCAGATGGGTAGGTTGCAAATATTTTATCCCATTCTCTGTGTTGTCTCTTCACTTTGTTGATTGTTTTAGGATGGTAAACTTTGAAGTTTCATGAACAAAAATCAAATCCTAGAAAACTAAATTTACAATATAACCATTGAAGCTTGAAAGTGATCTTTTTAGGGCAAATAACAGTTATATTGTCCACTAAATTGCATTCCTTCCAAAGAGCAGACTAGAGATAGAAAAATATATTTAACAGTGTTCTTCTGAATGAATGGATCATTGGTTCAAGATGGATTGCCATGAAAAGTTAAATCTGATGTCACGAAGGACAGCTGTCTTTTGGGCTTTCCCACATCCAAGATTTCAGTATTCCAATTCAATTTTAGTGATCTATCTTCATTACAATATCATTTTCCTATTTAAAAGATTGACATTAGTGCTGAAAAAGAAATTTAAATAGTGAGTAGGGGAATATGCAATCAAATGGTTTTCTAAGATAGGATTTTATGATAGCTTTCCAAATCCAAATCTGTCTTCAGTCAAGACAGGAAATGTAGATAAATAATCAGAAATAGAGTGAAAACATGTTTATCTAAGTTTGGTTATTACTAAGAAAAACTTCTTCTTTCCTCTTATCTTACAGGCAAAATGGATCTGACTCCCGGTTTACCATTATTTTGGATCGAAGATTGGATACCTGGTCTTCTCTCAAAATTTCTCTCCAAAAAATCTCAGTAAGTACCTATGTATTCTATAGTAACTTATTTTTGTTTTAAATTATACTTTTGGTTTTGAGAGGGAAAGGTTGGTTTGATACTAATGGAGACAATAAAAATAGATGGGATGGTGAGGAGGGAAAGTAGAAGAAGAGTTTGTAGTGGAGATTGAGATTGAAAACTCCACCCAAAATAAAACCTAGTGGGAAAGAATGCGTAGTGAGTGGTCTGAGTTATGAGTGAGAAGAGACTCATGGTTCTATATGCCTTTCAGAATAAGGCAAATTTTTATGGGAAGTTTTTTTTAGTGGAAATAGCTGTATTGTATACTCATTGTATATGGAAAAGTATAAAGAAGAAAGTATAAAACAATAGTCAGTAATCCAACAACTCCAAAATAAACACTTTTTAACATTTTGGTGTGTATCTTTTTTTTTGGTTTTAGATTTTTTTTTTATTTCAGCATATTATGGGGGTACAGATTTCAAGGTTTCAATAAATATCTATTTCCCCCCTCCCCCCACAAGTCTGAGTCTCCAGGATGACCATCCCCCAGATGGTGCACATCTCACTCATTATATATGTATATACCCGCCCCCCTCCCCCCTCCCATCTGCCCAATACCCTATTACTGTAGTACCTATGTGTCCACTTAGGTGCTGCTCAGTTAATACCAATTTGCTGGTGAATATATGTGGTGCTTGTTTTTCCATTCTTGGGAAACTTCACTTAATAGTATGGGTTCCAGCTCTAACCAGGAAAACATAAGATGTGCTATATCACCGTTGTTTCTTAGAGCTGAATAGTACTCCATGGTATACATATACCACATTTTATTAATCCATTCTTGGATTGATGGGCACTTGGGCTGCTTCCACAGCCTTGCAACTATGAATTGTGCTGCTATAAACATTCGAGTGCAGGTGTCTTTTTTGTAGAGTGTCATTGGATCATTTGGGTAGATGCCCAGCAATGAGATTGCTGGATCAAATGGTAGATTCACTTGTATTGCTTTAAGGTATCTCCATATTGCTTTCCACAGAGGTTGAACTAGTTTGCTGGTGTGTATCTTTATAGACTTTTTTCCCTAGGATAGGGTAGGGAGATGAGTCACTTAGAAAATGACATATCTCCCCTATTAGAATCTAGTCCCCAGCTTCTGAAGACCCAGAGAGAGAAACATTTTCCCTTATGTATGTATATATATATATATATATATATATATATATATATTTGACCTTGGATTCATCCATAACCTTTCCAAAGTACATGTATCAATGTAATTTATCATCTGTAAGACAATTACAGTGATACCTGCCTGCAGCACTTAATCAGGAAATAAAGATCAGTAAATAAATCAATAATACTTAATAAATGTGAATGGTTTTGAAAAAGCAAAAGTATATAATACAATGTCAAGGTTTTGTTATTTTATATTAGTAACTTGTATGACTCTGACATTAATTCTTCTCTCTTGTAATTCTACAAGTTATACATACATATATATATTTTAGGGAAAATGTTTTACATTATTAGCTCACATTATTAGATCTTTTACATTATTAGCTCACCAGGATATAGTGACATTGTTTGACAACTCACTTTCAAAGAAGAGAAAGGAGATGTGGAACCCACAGATTCCTTCTGAGCTGGCAAGATTAGGGCTGTCTGTGGAAGTACCATGTGGCCAAGGTTCTCTATTAGACCAGAGTAGCTAGGAATCAATATTTTTTTTTCTTTGAGATTTCAACATCATCAGCCATCTGAAATTCTTACATTGTCTCCCTACTGACTCAGGAGGCCATTTCCACCAGAGGAAGTTGATATACTTGTAAAGGCAAGGCAAAAATCTGGGTTGTTAGACTTCTGAGACAATGTTCTTCTTGCTATATCGTCTTATCAATGAGCATAAGAAATAAACTAGCACTCACATGGTAAAATGAATGAGATCATTATTCTTTTCATACCCAGCATGAATTATTCCTCATGTTGGGCCAGTTAGCAAAGTGATTTCTTGTATATTTGTTTAACAGAGGTGTTTAATCATAAGCAGTGGAGAGAAGAATTAATGTCAGAGTCATACAAGTTACTAATATAAAATAAGAAAACCTTGACATTGTATTATATACTTTTGCTTTTCCGAAACCATTCACATTTATTAAGTATTATTGATTTATTTACTGATCTTTATTTGCTGATTAAGTGCTGCAGGCAGGTATCACTGTAATTGTCTTACAGATGATAAATTACATTGATATATGTACTTTGGAAAGGTTATGGATGAATCTAAGGTCAAATAGCCAAGTAACCAAAGGACCCAGAGCAAGAAGTAAAATTTTATGAATTCCAGGCCGGTCGCAGTGGCTCATGCCTGTAATCCTAGCACTCTGGAAGGCCGAGGCGGGAGGATTGTTTGAGCTCAGGAGTTCGAGACCAGCCTGAGCAAGAGTCAGACACCGTCTCTACTAAAAATAGAAAGAAATTAGCTGGACAACTAAAAATATACAGAAAAAATTAGCGGGGAGTGGTGGCGCATGCCTATAGTCCCAGCTACTCAGGAGGCTGAGGCAGGAGGATCGCTTGAGCCCAGGAGTTTGAGGTTGCTGTGAGCTAGGCTGACATCAAGGCACTCTAGCCCGGGCAACAGATTGAGACTCTGTCTCAAAACAAAACAAAATAAAAATTGTGAATTCCAGTTGGTGCTATTTTCTATCATTTTCCAAATGGATTATGAATAGACAAAGAAATTGAGTGTTTTTAGAAAAAGGTAAATTTCCTTTTGAGAGAGTAAACCTGTCCTCTGTATACTATTGACTCCTATCAATGGGGTGAAATAAAATAAAAGCTATTTCCCTTGCTCCAAACTTTTAGGATTCTTCCCTGGGCTTGTTGAGTAGACCTTGGTTTATGCCAATAACTGATTCTTTTATACTATATAGAGCACTTGTTGCAACCAAACATTTGCTATTGCCCAGCTTTTTTTCTTTTGCATAACACTGTACCCACTTGATTAGATTAATTTTCATGTGTGACTGGCACATGGCATCAGTTTTTGGTAGTTTTCTTTTTATTAGTCAAATAGGTTGCTTCAAACAGAGGTCTTGTTTTTCATACAAGAGAAATGGTGCTGGACATGGCTGGGGGTACAAGTGCTGATGACGCATAACTGGCTATAGGTTGTTTTTTGTGTTGTTTCTTTTTAACATTTTCAATGTTTTTGCCTGTGGTATAGTTTCTATACTCATACTCAACTCAATAGCACATTAATTATATCTCAACCATTAATAGCTGCTAGGCACTGTTTGAAGTAAAGGTAAATATTGAATACTAGCTAATTTCAAGTGTAAAAGTTGGCATTCAGAAAGAATTTCTGGTGAAAGTTATCATTGTTTACCTAGGTGTTATTGTCTGTGGTATATTATTTTAAATAATTGTCTGTGAAATAATCATATGATTCAATTTGAAGATTTTTATTTGTAGATTCCAAAATAAATGGAAGCAGTTAGATTATACTTCATAATTAACAAGAGGAGACTTTTTTTTTTTAGTTATATATTTTGTAGAAAGGTTAATTTGGGAGAGAGTCCCATCCATCTTAGAAAGTTTGTATGTTCTGTTCTTCCTAGATTATCAGGGCATTATCAGGGCAAAATTTGCCATTATCAGGGCAAATATTTCACAAACTGTAATGTTTCACAAGGCTCAAACCCAGAATGGAATTTAATAACAGATAAAGCAGAATTGAAATTTAAGTCACAGACCAGGCTAGGACAAGAGTAAAAATAATCAGTTAGGACTACCTTCACAAAGATTCCTAGCATTCCACCTTAAAAAATCAAACTGCGCAGAGGAGAAAGCCAGTGGCATCAGGACTGCTACTAGGAGGAGAGTCGTTTTTTTTTTTTTTTTTCCTTCCTCCACTCTTAGGACATGCCTGATCTTCTTGAGCAGTCCAGCACAAGCTAATCCACAAGGTTCAATCAGGCTAAGTAATTGGGGGAATGTGTCCATTCTGAATTACAATGAGCAGCAGGGAAGGATCTGTCAGCTGACTTAATCAGGGATAGTGGGTTTTTTGCAGCGCTGCCACGGTGGTAATGGAAACAGCTACGGTAGCTTTGTTTGATAGAGATTTTTGGCTGCCGTTTTTAAATACTACCCAAGAAGCAGCTCATATTTCATCAATGTTGCATTGACAATTGGAAAAGAAGAGTGTAACTGTGTATAGACGAGATGGCAGAAGCAAATCCCCCGAGAGGCAAGATGAGGTTCAAAAGGAATGCGGTAAGGGCTCTGCCTGCAGTCCTGGAAAGCCTATTCCCAAGTTCAAGTGCAGGGATGCTGCAGCATGGTGCTATAGCACAAACTGCTGAGTGGGGGCTTTTCAGGACAAATGGAGAGAATGGAGACTTGTATTTGCATGAATTGCGTTAATGTGATTACTGCAATATTGATATTGACATACGGTAATTAAATGGAATCGAGGAGGTAGAATATAATTTCAAAATCTATGTTTCTTCAAATTTATGAGGAAGCGCTATTAGTCATGTTATTTAAGACTGTATGAACAATTTAGAATTGTTTGGCAGCATAGCTTTAAATCACGAATTAAAATAACATCTAACAGAAGGATTCATCGTTTCACTATGGTCAAGTAGAGTACGATATTATGGATGGGTTTGGAGGTGATTTCATCATCACTTAAAAAAGCAGCCCTTTCTGGGTGTTACTGTACAAGTGAAAAAATTTAAAAGTCTAACGATTTGAAATCTTTATGGTTTCAATTCTTCTCCATACTTAAACTTTAAAAGATACAAAATTCTAGCCTGTTGACAACTTTTTTCTTTTAAGGAAAAAGATAGTGACTCACTTTTCAATATAGGTTAGAATTTGGAGATCTCTCCTCCCGGATATATTTCAAACCCTACTCTACTTAAATTTTCCTTTTATTAATTTATTCATATAGTAAATTGCCAGCAAATTTATACTGTGATCTTTACATGAATTTTGGAGAAATG